AAGGCAACTGTGCGTAGAGCCGTTCGCACAGTATGTCTGGTACTTAACGCTTCTTACACACGTTTATACAGTTCCCTGTCCATAAAGCTCTGCGTGTTACTACAGAGTGGTAGGTTTGTCCTTTGTAGTAAAATCTATGATGCATATTTAATATATAGTCATACTATTTATATCTATAGCCTACATGTATTCATCCTGCACACACACACACTTGATACTTCCCTATATGACTTTCTATTTCAGGGTTTCCAGGGTTTTAAACATTAAAACAATAACAGAGCCTTTCTCAGCAGAGGAAGACAGCAAAATCAGTGATAAAACCCAGAAGAACAACTAAATCCCAGGTAAAACCCTGGGTTCCTTTAAATCAGAGCTAGATAAGATTTTAACAACTCTGAGCTATTTGTTAAGTTCTCCCTAAATGAGCTTGATGGGCCGAATGGCCTCCTCTCATTTGTAAATTTCTTATGTTCTTATTATAGCTACTGTTTTTTATATAGTCACACCCTACTCTATCCATTTATAGCACAATGTAGCTAACTTGGACACTGGACTTCAGTTATCACAATGACAACAAAAAGAGCAACATAGCAGAACTACTTCCCTTTGTCTATCAAATCTGTGTTCATGTCGGTCAATCTGGGTGCAGCTGATGGGTGTATACGTGCTGGATGTTTGCAACACATTCCTTTAAACTACTTATCAAGCTACAAATGGAAAAACAAAGACATTCTCATGCCAAAGAAGCTCAGAGTAATGCTCAAATTCTTCCTATGTAGTACCTCACACAAGGAATGTAACAATGAATATATTCCCTGTATACCATTCACATAATTTTTGGTTTGGAACGAATTAATATATTTCTTTACACAGATGGAATTTTAATTTACAAGTAGATGTTCAACCTGAAAAACATGCTAATTGTGGCTGTGAGTTTGATGCTTTCAGAAACAAGTCATAACAATCATAAGAGACCTTCCCACATAAAATTAGAAACTCTAAAAACTTAACTGATTTTTTTCTGACCTGTTAACTAATTTGATATTAAATTTTAAAAGAAAGAAGAGAAAAAAACTTTGTATACTATCAGATTGCTAAAAATATTGAACTCATTTTTGGAAAACAACACACGGTGAGTAGATGGGATGCTACTCTGCCGAATAAACAGTGTGTAACATGGCTTTAAGGATGAACTGGTTCCAAAAATGGTTCTACTTAATGTGTGGAAATTGTATGCGGAATCTGATGTGGACCAAACTACTGTGGCACACTTGTGGGTCATGTTGAAATGAGGAGAATCACACTCTTCTAACCAGACCACTGTCAAAGTACTCAAACAGCAGCACAGATAAGGCTAGTTAAATGGTCAATTAACATTGCTACATACATTCCAATTTTTTTTTATAAAAACCTGTGATTGCAATCAAAAAAATAAAATTTTTTTATAAATAAAATAAAGATTTTGTTTGGTTACTCATGGTTAAGGTTAGGCCTGGGTAGCGGTTATGGTTGTCATAGTTGGAATTATGGTCATGTCCATAGGAATGAATGGAAAAGTCCCCAAATACGTGGATTTGTGTGTGTGTGTGTGTGTGTGTGTGTGTGTACGTATGTATGTACACTCTAAAAACTTTTTCAGATGCACAGCAACAAGTACTTAAAAAAATAACAGGAACGTACTCAATAAATGTTTGCTTTTAATTTTATTCAATACATTGAAGTTCATCCAACACAATATTTACTAAATAAACTAAATGCAGCAAATTTATTAAAATCTACTCATTTTTTTCTGGACTTGACAACACCACCCGTAAATTGAGCTGGCTGGATAATTTTTCCTACGTCAAAAAAATACTTGTTGATGCACGTACGTTGGTTCTACCCGCCAAGAACACACAACCGGCATTATAGAAATGGTGAAAGCAGCGAAACGTCGATCTCCATTTTCCTTTGACTTCTCGATAAGAAAAGGTATCTACAGAAACATCATTTTGTCTACTTTTTTTAAAAGAAGTTTTTCTTATTTTTTTTCGTGGAATTGTTTTGCCGTTTGCGCGATTCCCATTGCTTACGCATACTTTTAAGTAAATTTGACATTAATTGAGTGGAGTATATTGTAAAAAGACTGATAAATTATCAAAGGGAAGATGGATTATTTAAAAAACTAACTGAACTGTATGATTTTAAAATTATATTCAGTACTATGTTCTAGGGACACCCATCTTCGGATGTTCCCTGCCTTAACCAGAAAATTATGTACCGAATGGTACATGATGAATATGTGTACCATTGAGGCCCAGCTATAACTTCCTTAACTTAAGATGCTTTACTTTGTAGGTATAGTGGGTGAAATTGATCAGAATAAGCTTAAGTTCATTATAGCTGTTTTTTTTCCATGACTAAGGCAAATTACCATCTAATTGACATTTGTATATTTATTACATGCATATAAGGTAATAAAACGGACAGCTTCGCTATTTAGTTAATTATATTGACGATTTCAAAATACAGTACAGCTGTTTCAAATGTGTTTCAAATTACAATACTGTAAAAATAAAATTACTGAACTGTGTGTAATTCAAATACGCTAAAATACAGTATAGTACTGTACATAAAATACAGCTTATTGAAGTTTTTCTGCTGCTTTTCGGTGCCTCGTTTTTGGTGGTTTATCATAAGCTTTCCCATCATGTTTTCTGTGCACGCTGCGTTATCCTCAGGTAGCTATCCAGAAGCAGACGGGTTACTGCAAGGCAAAGTAGGGCAAGCAAAGTAAAGTCAAAAATAAAAACAAGAAATACTGTTGTTTTATTTTTCTCCATATGTTGTCATGTATAAAAATAACCCAGCTTGAACTCGAACATGAACATGAAAAAACCCTCAACATTAACACGGTAAGCGGACTATTTGATTGCTATAAGCGAATTATTTAAACAGTATTTGTACAAAAAAATTATTCTCTTCCATGGTGCTTGATCTAAATGAGCAGTTGATCACTATGACCACGATCACTATAAACGGTTTCCACTATATAACTTATGTCTTCACTTGGTCAATAAGTTCATAAGGTTTAAAACAAGTGAATGTGAATTCCGATTCTTTCAGTCTAAATTTTATGTGAACTAGCCTCGTTAGCTGTACCTCCTAAAAAAAGTCAATTTACCTGAAATCAGTTTGTAACATTAATGTAACTTTCTCAGCTCACCAGACTGTCAGTAAACATTGTCAGTTAACTGATTTTCAGTCTCCTTAAGGTATTTTAACCATAGTCATTTAATTTCCAGATACTTTGGACTGTTTTGTCTGTTTAAAAAATATAAAGTAAATATGAACCAATACATCCATCCATTATGCCGCCCATGAGGCATCCGCACCAGGTGTCCAAACCACCTCATCTGGCTCCTTTCGACGTGAAGAAGCAGCGGTTCTACT